GATCTCCTCCGGGGCAGGCGGGAATCGAACTCATGCGGAAGTGGTTTCAGCTTCTTAGTGCAGTGCTCCAACCTGCTGCGCCACCAGGGAGGGCCAAAATGGGATTTCATTTTAAGGCAGGATGGAATTAAGCTTTGGTACTGTCAGTGATTGGAGAAATGTTGGCATTGTTTCTCATTTCTATCGCACCGAGTCAGTTTCCTTCATAAATCCTGACATACACCTGGAATTTATCATGCCATAGCAAGGTTGCCATCCAGCCCATGCCTCCATCCTCTGCAATCTGAGTAAATTTAAGTCAGAGGCTTAATCATTGGCACCCACAGGTCTTGCTGAGTCATGTTAATCACTGCTTGGCTGACTCTCTAGATGGGGATCACCTGTGATGGCTTCTACAACCCGCTGAATGAGTTGGTTTGCTCTCTCTCCTCTCCTCTCTCTCTCCCCACCCTCTCTCACTCTCACTCATTGATACCTACATTAAGACTACTGTTAGCACCCTCTGCCCATCAAGGGAGAGACACTCACCAAAGTCAGTCCTGTGTTTACAAACTTGTTTAGACTATTTAACTCGTTATGGTCATTATATTCTGCAAGTTGTTGAGCTATGAGCATGCAAACAAATTGTTTGTCAAGAGGACTACCTTAAGTGGCTACAAAGACTTGATAAAGACATGCTGAAAGAATTTTGATAGCAAATTGGGTTGGAAAAATGGGTAAATGATTGGGGTAGATCAGACATCTATACTTAGATTGCTTTGATAGGATTAGCAAGTCCTTTTCCATTTCAAAGAAGGCAAAACTAGCAATAGTAGATGATGTGTTATGTAGGTGGGTGTTGCCTAAGAAAGACAAGGAAAACAAATCAATAGCCCCCACAAGAACAGTCTTGGTGTTATACCAAGGGTGGTGAATGGATATGTAGCCACATGCTTTAAATTAATATAAAATTCTCAACACTGATGCGTATTTTTTCTTATTAAATTGCCCTATGGCTGACTTTTGGGAATAACCACCAAACTGTAATGTTCTCAGGGAAGACCGGTAAGGGGATATGCCTACCACACTGGTGACTCTCCCCGTGCTCTCCTCTCTATCTCAGCTCCAGGACTTTGGACCTGGAAGGGCCCTCTCTGCCTCCCACTTCATCACTACAGCAGTGGCTCACTCCCTGCTTCTCCCTCCTAGCAATTCTCTCTGCATGTTTTCTTCTTATTCTTTGTCCTCAGCTGGCAGTGGTACCTCCTTCCTGTATTTGGGGGACACCCCACTCTATGAGGCAGAGCCTGTAGAAGATGAAAAGGCCGAGTCTTCTCTTCACTTTCCAGCGTTAGAGTCCAGGCCTGTCACTAGGACCAGCTGCCATCAACACGGCTCTAGCTCTGCTTTTCAACCAGCAGCCAGTGAGGCTGCCTCACCCCCCTGCTGAGTTGTTCTAGGGCGGATTTGGGGGCCCGAGGGAGGGGCTGTTTTCACTTTCTGGATGTACCAGTGGTACCAGTGGTAGAGATCAAAGGATGTACCTGTAGCCTTCAAATTTGATCTTCCAAATGTTAGATAGCCCTCTAGTAACCTTTGATAATTTTTTTTTCTGGTTTCCTTACTTAAAGCTAAGAATCCTGACTGATACTTTGCCTTCAGGCAACGGTATGCCATTGTCACTGCTTCATGCTGCTATTGTCTCAGAGCCAGTCAGCTGGGAACACCCCCTGTCGTTTCTGTAACTTGAAGGCTCAGCAATGTAAGGCAATGCAAGATGTATCCTCAACAAAATGCTATTGTTTCATCAATTTGAAAATTCATTAATTAAAAAAAGTTTTCTCTGGAAATCCAAAATTATAAAAAGACATCAGAATATGGGCCTTCACTGGTGGTACAAGTGGTTAGAGTACAGCACTATGAAATTGGCTGCAACTGTCTCAGTGCCAGTTCAATCCCTGACCCTGGAGCTGGACCACAGGGCACGGCAGACCTCTCCTGTCTCCCTGCTGCCCCCTCAGCAGTGTACTTCGTCGATCTGCCTGTTCTGCTCCCCACTCTGTCTCTGGTGAAGCCTCTCACCGCCCCCACACCTCCAGCCTGAACCCTAGTTTGTACGCATGAATAAATAGTTCTTTAAAAAAAAAAAAAAGACATCAGGATGTTCTTAGTAAGTGAGCAGAATTGCAGTCTGTGGTTTTGTGCCCTCTTCACATTTCTTAAAGAAGACAAGTACAGTCGCAGATCGTTCCATAGCATTTAATTAAATACAAGATGGTTAAACACGATGGAGATTTATATATTTAGCAGCTCTGCGAAATGTTTGTAATGCATGTGGAAGTTACAGTCAAATCAGAGACTTTCACTGTAGTGTACAATGGACATTTTAAGAATAACCCCAGAGAAAACCACTAAGTTGACAGAAATGTCACCGTGATCCGCATCATTTCTGGCTGTGGTTTTCCAGGCACGTATTCCTGCCGTCTTCCTGGCCAGCTCACTCCTGTCCCTCAAGGTGCTATGAAAGCACTAGGGAAGTGTGCACATTGGCAAACTCCCAAACTAGGCTTTTCTGGAGCAAATTCTCACGTCAATTAGAATGACCAGAAAGTAGGAGACTGGTAGGAAATCAGCTGACCAGGCGAGGCTCTCTTAGATCCCGGCCTGGTTGTTTAATTGACAAAATAGCTACCTACCTTTCAACTTTCTGTTTTCATCATCATGCCCCAGAGGATAAGCAGTTTATGGCGCTGATTTATATATTGTTTCTGACCCAAAGTTTTCCTTTCTTACTTAAATCCAAAAGGGGGGTGATCCACACAAATGATCATTTTACATTGTACATCATATATTGTCTCTGAATGTGTAATCAAGCATTAGCAGCAGTTATGATGATGAGAGTATATATAATACACAGATCGTAAATCTCTCCAGTAACAGACATTCACACACTAATTTCAAAAGATAACCTATGATAGACAGCATGAAGGACTTGAGAGTTGAAGGGACCTAGACTTTCTCTAGTTTTATTTCATTTCTTTCGGGGATTTTTAATTTATAGCAGGGAGGCGTACGTACAACTTCCAGGCTCCACTGAAAGTGTTAGGACTTCTGCAAAGAAGCTACTGGAGAGTTTAGAGAGCTAAGAGAGCTAAGAGGTGCTGCTGCTCTCTGAGACACTGCTCCTACTTCGGCAGGGTCTGCTTGTTGTGTGCCACGTAGTCTACATCACAGTTTGGGGTTTTCCTGACTGCCTCCACTAAGTCACTTTGAACATGACTCCATGACCACAGTTTGTATTACTCATGATCATTTGTTTACAAAGTCACCATTTCATTTGATTTTTCACGTTATGAGGGCAGGTACATATTATTTGTGGTAGATCTTCTATGCCTCATACAATGGTTGGCACATGGCAGAATTTCCATAAAGAACTGTTGAGGAAATGAAAGAAATATGTTTATGGAAGTGCTTTTGAAATTCCATAAGCACTGAAGAAATCTCGGGGATGATGGGTCATATCCATTATGACTGGTTCAGAACCGGACTTTGGAAGTACAAAATCTGACTGCCGATCAGATGGTCTGATTCTTAATGAGGCCTCTAGACCCACAAAGAAGGTTGGTTTGCCCACTCCCAACAAACTGTACACAGATTGAAGATAAAAACACAAAACAATGACAATAAGCCCCAAACAAAGCCCTGAACCCACGCCCTTCTTCCCTCCCATGGGCGTGGCTGCCCCTGTGCTCCTGCCTGGGGAGAGGGCCCCTTGAGTTGAGGCAGCTCACCTGCCTTGACTTGCTCTGAGATTGTCTCTAGGAATTTACTAGACTGAGAAATGCAGGCAGGCCCATGCCAAGTGGTGGAAGGATGTTTCTCTTCTAGATGTGGAAGCCTATGCCATAGTTGGTGTTATTAGTCTCGCTGAGCTTCTGGCAATGCCCAGTGTGAAGAACCCAGCAGAGTTTGTGGATGGATTTGGGGTGGGCAGTCCTTATACACAGAAGGTTATTCCTTTCTCATTCCTCATTCGGCCCTGTCCTGGGGTCCCCACAGGTCTTTTATCATCCATGGCTTCCGGGGGGTGGGGATAGCAAGAGGATCACAGCCTCGAGATCTAACAATAGATTCTGGGCTTCAAATTCATTACCCACTGAACACTTTTTCAAAAAAAAAGAGCTAGACTGTTGGCTTTTTCTTGACTTTGCCTGTTGTGGACATGCCTGGTCATGGGGCTTCACACCTTGTGAGGCCAGTTCCTCATTCCTCTGTTCTTTATAGCCTTCTAGATTCAAGTTACTGTTGACTAGGGCATTCATTGTTCATGCTCAATATCCTGGAGTGATTATTTATAACTCCCCCTTTTATTTTAGAAAGTTTAGACCACAAATTATACAGCTATCTGGTATCAATGAGGTATAGCCTTTGGGAATAGGTTGGCCCCGTTTTTAGTGCCCAACTTGAGAAGCGGGCAGCCAGATTCCCAGGTATCAAACTTAGCTCCATCCATTCTCGGATGGAAATCTGGGGCAAGTTACTAAACTTATATAACAAAGAGAAGGATACTTATAATTATACTTATAAGTGCAACCACCTTCAGGATGACTGAACATGCATAAGACCAGGGGTGCAGTGCAGTTTAGCACAGCCAAGGTGTAGGGTCAGTCCTAACAGTGACACCTGCCATTCATGTCCTCCTTTCCTTGTTTCTTCTTTTACCTTTTGTTTCCAATCCTTACCCCTCCCCCCATTGCTTTTTTCCACACTTTCATTCTTCCCTTTTCTGTATTATTTTTCTTTTTGAGATTGTTGAATCATCTGAGTTGCCTGAAGCTGATTGCTTCTGCCTCAAATTGCATGCCACTGAAGCAGGCAGGCATGGTCAAAGCAAAGTCTCAGAATCTGGTTACTCATGTAGAAGGGTTGCATTAATCATGTATTCCTTATGCTTTGATGGAGGAGAGAAACACAGCCATCTTTGCCTGTCACAGTGGTTCTGGTCGTGGCTTTCTTCCAGCTCACTGGTTTTGGTAGAAGCTGGACATGGTGACATAAGCTTCCTCCTGACTTGGTCCCAAGGCCGTGAGGAGGAACTGTCCCTGAGTAGCAGCATTCAAGGTCAGAATTCCCACTTGGAAAGGAAATGGAGGGGGTACAGCACTGTTGGTAGTTTCAGGGCCATTCAGCAGCCCCTGGTATACCTGAGGCCCATTCTTGCCTCCTTCCTTGCAGTCTGGGGGCCTGGGAGTGGGGAGCACAGAGACATCACATGTGGTGACATTCTCAGTCAGGCACAGGAAGTGTGACCCTCGTTTGGAAGTTTCTGGGGTGGTGACTGCATGCTGGGAAGGCCAGTTGAGCTCTTGCACACCCACCACAAGTCTCTGCTTTTCAGGCTCTTTTATTTGTGAAGAAAATACGTCTTGCAGAAAACCTTCTGTTTCATCTCTAGCTTGAATGCCATCCACCTTATGAATCTGGCAGTCCAGGAAACTCTCGGGATTGAAACTAGCATTCAAATTCTGCACCAAAACAGAGAGACAATATTAAGACTGCTACAAGGAGATATGCCATGTTTGGTCAGAAAGACGGGGGTTTATCAGGGAACACCAGAGAATTGCCCATATGTGACAGTGGATAGTTTTCCTTCTGGAGGAGTTGTGGGGCCTCAAGTCTGTTGCCCTTCAGCCCTGCAGAGACCTGGGAAGTTCTGAGACTCAAGTCTTCGTTTAGTTTCCTACTTCTGGAGAGCTGCATCTAGGATCTTAGAAGGGCCCCTCCTCCTGGGGTGCTCACATGACCAAGCCTTACGTTATTCTTACAATGTCATTCTTGGCTGCTCGCATGCCTCCCCCATAGCAATAGAAACATCAGAAGCTCTCACCTTTTTTGGTTTCTTGCACAGTTGTTCTAGTGTCTTCTTGTGATCAGGGAGACTGGGCCATATAATGGGCTTAATCCTGAAAAAAGAACAGGTACGATAGGCCTTTCCACTTATTCTTAGCCAAGAATCAGACGAGTGCATTCTGGTCTGGACCCCACCACAGCTAGGTGGGTCACTGTGAACAAGTGACTTCCTTTCCCTTGACCTCTGTGTCCTATCACTGGGGGTGGGCCAGAGACCACAGTCAGTGACCAACTGCATGGACAAGACTTAACAATGCTATACCTTGGGAAAGAGCCCTGGGGAAAAGGAACAATGAAGCTTGGCAATGAGCCAATTATTACTAGCTCATTTACTTCGAATGAGCATTTTTTGGGTGTTATCCTTTTCTTCCTGGCAGCAACTCCTCTATGGTAGAACTGAGAACTATTTTCTAAGTTATTCAGAGAAACCGTTATAAGTTGTGCTTAAAACTGGAATGTCCTGAGACTGCATAGCCCTGTCCTGACAGCATGAATAACTTAACTGGTGTGTGCCTAAAGTTTTGTTTTTAGATGAATGCATAGGTCCTCTGCCCTCCTGTGGGGTGGATGCATTTGTGAGCTGAAGGTCAAAACTTCAAACACAGACCCTCCCTGGTGGCACAGTGGGTTAAAGCACAGTACTGCAAGCTAGCCGCTGCCACTTTGGTAGGAGTTCAATCCCTGGCCCCGGAAGTGACCCACATGGCACGGCAGACCTCTCCTGACCTGTCTGCTGCTCCCCTCAGCAGTGTGCTTTGTTAATGTGCCTGTTCTGCTCCCTGTCTGTCTCTGGTAAATCCTCTCACCGCTCTTGTGCCTCTGGCCTGTACCCCAGTTCTGTATGCACAAGTAAATAAATCTTAAAAAAAAAAAAAAAAGACTTCAAACATACTCTGCCTTCACCATGTGTCTCTACTGTCTGGGCATTCTGGAGGTGCAGTGACTACTTTGGAGAAAAAGTTGGGGAGGAAGATTTGCCTTATATCCAATTTACATATTTTACCTCTTCTGAAATTAACTGGAAATTCACTAGTGCCTGGGAATGGGGAAGAATGCTGGGCACTATTCCTGAAATACCCTGTTCCTCTTTGTAGCTTCTCATTTGTTAGAGCTCTGATCTCTCGGACCTCCTGTGACCACCCCCACTAATTAATTTAAAAAAATTCACCTTTTTTTCCATAATACACCAGCCAAGATGACTATCAGAATCACAGAGAAAAAACTCAGAAAGCTGATAACAAGTAAGACAGGATTCATCTCCCCTGGAACACAAAGACAGACCTTGGTCAGCATTCATTAAGAGTGCAGTGGGACAGAGGGGGGATCAGCATGCTTGGAATTTATTCAGCTTCTTAGGCCCACCTGTTATTTCTACAAAGGTGGTCTACAGTGAATGATGATGTACAAGCTTAATGAGGGAGTTTTGTCTTAGTAAGTGGCACTGACTAGGGTGACCACCCTAAAGATTTGTCATGCAAATGACAGCTACTGAAGACAGCTACTCCCCCCAGAGGGGAAGAAGAGAGAGAAGCTCTCCCAGCAGAAGCAGAATTTCCTAGGGCGAGGCTGGGAGACTGGTACGGCTGGACAGTTGAATGTCCAGAGGGAATTGTATGGCCCTAGGGACTTCCAGGGACCTGCCTGAGCCACCTTTTGGGTTCTGCTAACTTTGCATTTCCGTAGACTCCCAGGAGTTCTGGTTTGTTCTGGAAAAGAGACTCTACAGAGCCCAGCACCCTGTCCATCAGGGCATCATAGAAGGGCCTTGGAGAGAGGAGCTTCAGGGTAAGCTGGAGGGGGTGGGTGGGCTGGGGGGTTTGGTTTGGGACTGCTAGCAGCTCTCAGGAGAGCCCAGGATAGTTGTGTCCCCATAGCTCAGACCTGCTGATCAGAGACTAAGGGCTCTGCTCTCACATCTTGCTTGTTCTTCACAAAAGGACCAGAGGGCAGGTCATTCTCCAAAGGATGTGTAAGGACGCCCTCGGCAGAGTCCAAACCTGTCAGTTTGTTTCATCTCTCACTTTCACTCTTGTGCACGCATCCGGGGGTGACAGAGACTCTAGGTCACGTCTCACCTGTGTGGGATGTGTTGGGTTCGGGAGTTCTGAAGTGGTACGTGGGACTCCATTCGCTCCAGAAGCCTTCAAAATAGTCTGAATGAGGGATGGATCGGACTTTAATCTCATACATTGCATCAGGTTGCAGATTTCTCTGTAGGAGCGTCAGCTTTGTGTTGGATATGTTCACATGCTACAGAGCAAAAAATAGCACTGCAGTTTTAGGATGGAAAAAAGGTCCCAGATCTCCCACAACATTTCTCGTTGATTCGTTTTAGTCATGGGAACACTCTCAGAGGAGGTTCTCTTACACTTGTTAAAGGTGCTCTGACATCTGGGTGTCGGAGGCAGATCTGGGGGGCAGAGGCTGTGAGCACTTATATGATGCTACAAGTGGCAAAGAGGACCAGGAACTCTGGGGCTTTCTCTGGGGGAGTGGGCTCCCTCACTCAGGCCGGTGCCCACTTGCCTTCCAATACTTTCATCTCTTCACTTTCCTTTTTTCTTTTTTGAAAAGATTTATTTATTTATTCATACAGAACTGGGGTACAGGCCGGAGATGCGGAGGGTGAGAGAATTCACCAGAGACAGAGAGGGGAGCAGAACAGGCAGATCGACGAAGTACACTGCTGAGGGGAGCAGCGGGCGGGTCAGGAGAGGTCTGCCTCGCCATGCGGTCACCTCCGGGGCAGGTGGGGGCAGGTGGGGGCAGGTGGGGGCAGGTGGGGGCAGGTGGGGATCGAACTCATGCGGAAGTGGCTTAAGCTTCTTAGTGCAGTGCTTTAACCTGCTGCGCCACCAGGGAGGGCCATCTCTTCATTTTCTTTCTCTTGCCTTTCATCCCCCAAGGGGAGATCCCAGTGGCAGACAAAGAGCAAGAATCTTTCCCTCTGGAAAGATACCAGACAGAAGCTAGTCTTTCTGTCAGTGAGAGTATCTTTAGGGAAAAGCACTCTGTCAATGTGGGAGGTAAAAGGGATATTCCATTGTTATTTGCCTGTACATTTATTTAAAGATACCATATATTTATTGCATTTATGTATTTCTTAATTTGTAAGACATTTGCAAGTTTTTCACTAACTTTCCCCTTTTGTATTTATCGTCTTAGTGAATTTAAAAGGCCTCTTTACATATTACATGGATTTATAGCAAGAATATTTATATTACAATTTTACATTAGTAACCTTAATCTATAACACATATAATAATATTAGCTGCCTACTATGAGTAGCCATTTAATCCTAACTTCTAATTTGCATTACAATTTTGATTATTGAATAGGCTGACATTTATAAACTTTTATTTTTATGTACCCCACTTTTATGCTTAGTCATCTTCAGCTCAATATTATATAAACATTTACATATATTTTTTCTAGTTTGCTTAGAATTTCAGTCTTTATATTTCCTTATATTCTTATATATATTTCCTTATATTCTTTGTGGGTGTTACAGGGCATGAGTTGGGCATTCATTTCCCCCCCCTTCCGAAGTGATTGTTTTAGCACCAACTATTCAAAATCCTGCTTTCTTATCGATGCTGTTTTCAAATAACAATGGAATATATGGAACCACAGTAGCAGTATTTGCTCATGTGCAAGTGTGTGTGTATGTGTGTGTGTGCACATGAGTGAAAATGTGTGATGTTTAGGGGGTAAAAGGGAGAAGGGCTGTGGATGGGAATTTCACTTTTAAGTAATTTAAGGAGCATACTGCAAATGGACAGGACTGCTGTTGGACTGAGTAAAGAGAACAGTTGAAAATGTAGGCATCTTTTTCCCTTGAGTGACATGTTTTATTTCTGTGTGCTGCAAAAGAGACTGAAGCCAAGCCAGCAGAGGCAGAGGAACGCGAGAACCTCAGACACTCTCTTTTTTTCCCACCTCCTGCCCAGAATCGATTGCAGTCAGACCAGGGCAACGATCACAAATCAGAAAAAGTACCAATAATCCCCTAAGTGATGAAGGATGAAAGTTGTTTCTTCAAGAACTAAAAGTGTTGGTTTCACCAAAAAAGAAGAACAACATTCCACCTCCTCTCTTCTTTGCTTCTCACTGTTCTTACACTGCCCATAAACCACATTGTGGCTATGGCTTGGTGATGTGTTTTTTTCCTGAGTTGCCTGTGAAAGTTATGCTAAATGTGATGCATTTTGTGGGCTTAAAATAGAGGGTTGAATTGACTTCAGTCTTTTTTGTTAGTTCAACAACCTAATTTAGAAACAGTAAAGACAAAATATAGAGAATGAAAAAAAAAAAATCAGAACCAGAACCTGAATGGATCAGGGAAGACCCAGGCTTCTTGGGACCCAAAACTTTTATACATGAGGACTTTTGAGGACTTCTTTTCAGTCAAAGATAGATATTGAGCATAAAATTGCCAGTGGGTAAATTACCTCTGGGGTAATAAAATATGTCACATTAAGAAGTGCTTTTTTTTTTCTAGCTTTATATATGTATGTATTTTCATTTATATATAATTTATTTAAGTATATTTAAATTTGAAATTAAATGAACATGGTTGTCCTACATACCCTCCAATCATTTTCGCTCTTTTCCTGGCGGTATGCGACCTCATGCTTTAATTCTTTCACATATGACTTTCGCAAGTGTGATGTGTTAAATGTCACCACAAAGTCATTTGCTTCTTCACGATAGGTGACTCTTATGTCAAAAGGAGCCTCAGGTTTAACTGGAAAGGGGAAAAAAGTGAAGTCAGTCTGTAGGACAGACAAGGAAATAATTGTAATTTTTAAATTTCATTTCTTCTGAAAATCATATTCACTTTGAGTTAGTGACTGCCTATGGGTCAGAAAATCATTTCTTCTTCACCCTGGTTCAAAGCCAGACTGCATTTCCCAGCCTGCCTTGCAGCTGGGTGTACTCTGCTGTCCTCCCATCCTGGCCCAGAAACCACACTTGTGTGATCCCATGCTCACTTTCCTGCTATCACTTGCAGTTCTAGGTTGAAGACAGTGGCCCGTAAGACAAAGGAATCCCAAATACTGCCTGGAGGAGCACCATACACAGTTTAGAAACACCCATTTTTGCTCTTAGCTGAGAAGGAAATAAACTAATGGTGTTTTAGGGCTTATTTAATAGACCAATGGTGTTTTAGGGCTTATTTAGTGTTACTTTCATATGATGATACTGACATACTTCTTACTAATTAGCCCCAAAGCAGGAACATGATTCCAGTAGAATCAGGTTTTGAGCTGGCTCCTCTTGGCTACATAGAAACTAAAGAGCTGTATCCAGGCCCTTGCTTGACCTTGGGTTACCACATCTTCCTTCCCAGTTGCATTAGCTCTGAACTCATCCTCAGCCCTTTTTAATTTTAACCTGCCTCAAATATTAAGCCCACACACACCATGTATGAAATGTTGGAGGGTGGCCGGTACTCATTCAGGCAGCCTAGGTTTGTCAGATCACCTCCATCACAGAGACCAGCAGTTATCCCATCTTGGCCTCTTAGCTTCTCTTCCACCCAAGCCTGGAAAGTCAGTCATCAGGGATGTGCCAGTCACCTTTATTGTCTGGCTGATCAGAGACACAGGTTGGGCTCAAATCTAACCCAAACCTAATGTTATATGAGAATGTGCAGTCACTGAACTTTTACTTAACAGAATGAGCTGTGTTCTAGCCTATGTGAGCTGGGTGGTCAGACTTAACCATTGACCCAGCACAAAGAACTTGTAGTAGAATTAGTCACATATTCTTACTAGTGACTGCCCAGCTCTGCTGCATTGCCCCAGGTTAAAAAGGAAGAAGTGGCTCCTTCATTACCCTGCTTGTCAAAGGGGAAGTTTATCATTTCTTTGCCCTTAGATGCACTCTAAAAAGGGAAGTCACCCGAGATGGAGATGGAAGCAAGAGGAAAGGGGGTGGATGCAGAGAAAAAGACCAACCGAGATGACTGTCAGACCTTTATCTTACCGAGCCACTTCCTGCCCTTCAAGATTCAAGGAAATAATTCAGATTGATAATCTCAACAAGGATGCTGACAATGAATTCCCTGCCCTGTCCTTTGGCATCACTCCTCAATAAGAAAATCTCTTATGAAGGTGAGATGATACTTTTATGAGTTTAATCTGACAGGGTTCTGGTGCCCATTTGTTTGGCCAAAGATGAATCTAAAGGGATATTTTCAAAGACATGACTAAATTTAAATGCATAGATTTTGAGCAAAACAGGTTATCCTTCCTATGGTGGTAGACCTCACCTAATCAGATAAAAATCTTAAAAGCAAAGACTGAGAGTCTTCTGAGAACATTTCTATCTCAAGAAGGTAGAATACTACAGAGTCCTAGTAGGCATTTTCAGGGTGCGTGACCTGTCCTGAGGAATCAGCACTCAAGACTGCCACCTCCACAGCTGCCTGAATTCCACATTCCGGTTAGCTATCCAGATTTCAAGAATGAAATCATGTGTCATGAACCAATTTCTGAAAACAAATCTTCACACACATTCTGACTTGTGTATATCTTACAATGGTTCTGTTTCTTCTGGAGAACTCAAACAAAGCGAGTGACAAAACAACTTTATCTTTTAGTTAAAGATATTCAAAAAGTGGTGGGCTTATAGGGAGGCAATTACAAAGCATTTAGAAGAAGGTGAAGTGAGGAAGGGAAGGGTGTATGTGGGTGGATAACAGGAGGCCCAGCTCTAGTTAGATACCTGATGGAGATTAACTCTTCCTGTAATCTGTAGATGCCAATCGCACCCTTTCACAAGAGACCCACAAATCTACTCTTAGAATAAGAATTTGTGTACATTTCAAATTTTTTATTTCCTAAAAAAAACACTGGAGAATTTGCTATTCTCCAGGGCAAATAATTTTCATGTTTTTTCTCCTTTTAACATATAGCAAGTTTATGGACCCATAAAATTAGCACATTTACACACTAAAATGTGACAGCCATAACGTTTCTTACCTATTTTCACTATGTTCACTTTTCTGCAGGTTATATTCTTTCTTCCAAGCTTCACGCATATCCAGCTGTCTCCAATCAGTAAGAATAGCTTTGTCTTTAGGATATACATCTCTTTCACTTTACTAAAACTCAAGCAACCTACACCCAAAAGGGCCCCACTGTAGAAAGAAAAAGGAAATCTATCTTAATACAAGTAGGAGTTTCTACACACACTATCATAGCACAACGTGTGTATTTTAACTTGGTGACTTCAACTCTGTCCATAGACATGTATGTGGATAGGTGTATATTTGAGAAGGAGTTAAAATAATGCAGCTTCTTACCTCCTTCTTACCTGATTTTTCAGGTATCAGATGCCATCAAAACAGTGAAATCATGTTTGTAAAAATAATTAAAATTACTTATTTTTTAAGCAATTGATCATTAAAAAGCAAATACTTTACTTAGATTTTTTTTTTAAATGTCCTGCAGGGATGACTTAAATAGATAAGTCCTATACAGAAACATTGAGTAAAAGAGAATTAAAGGAAATGATAAAATAGTCTAAAGGAATCTATACATATAATAATGAATGAGTGGCCTAAGGGATTTTCATAGATAATTTTGGCTGTGCTTTTCTTTTGCCTCATCAACAGATTTAAAAATCAAACTTTTCCCCCATTATCCCTAGCTTCACATGCAATAGTAATGCTCCAAGAATTTCTATAAACCCCTCTTCCCAATTAAAATTTAGACTTTTGGGCCCTCCCTGATGGTGGAGCAGGTTAAAGCACAGCACTAAGAAGCTAAAGCCACTTCAGCGTGAGCTCGATCCCCGCCCCGGCAGTGACCCACATGGTGTGGCAGACCTCTCCTGACCCACCTGCTGCTCCCCTCAGCAGTGTACTTCATCAGTCGGCC